AAAAATTCAGGGGGACCCTCTAGACAGGGGACCCTCCAGGACCTACCCGAATTGTAAACTTTTGTTTCTACATATCTTTATTTGAGTCAAGGTGCCATACCTTTTAGTTCATGGTATTTGTACTCAATACTATTCACTAAGGGTGCTTGTAAGCTGTCTGTAACATGCTGTCTGTAACAAGCTGTCTTTAACAGCGTGTCTATAACAGCGAGTCTGTAACAGCGTGTCTGTAACAGGTTGTCTGTAACAAGGTGTCTGTAACAAGGTGTCTGTAACAGGCTCTCTGTAGCAAAGTGTCTGTAACAGCGTGTCTGTAACACTGTGTGTAACAGCATGTTTGTGACAGGATGTCTGTAACAGTGTTTTTGCACCTGTCTGTAACAAGCTGTCTGTAACACGGTGTCTGTAACAAGCTATCTGTAACAGGCTGTCTGTAACAACCTGTCTGTAGCAGCGTGTCTGTAACACCGTGTCTGTAACAGCATGTTTGTAACAGGATGTCTGTAACAGGGTGTCTGTAACAGGCTGTCTGTAACAAGCTGTCTGTAACATAGTGTCTGTAACAGGCTGTCTGTAACAGGCTGTCTGTAACAAGCTGTCTGTAGCAGCGTGTCTGTAACAGCGTGTCTGTAACACCGTGTCTGTAACAGAATGTCTGTAACAGGATGTCTGTAACAGGGTGTCTGTAACAGGCTGTCTGTAACATGGTGACTGTAACAGGCTGTCTGTAACAAGCTGTCTGTAACAGCGTGTCTGTAACAGCGAGTCTGTAACAGCGAGTCTGTAACAGCGTATCTATAACAGAATATCTGTAACAGAGTGTCTGTAACAGGCTGTCTGTTACAAGCTGTCTGCAACAGGCTGTCTGTAACAGACTGTCTGTAACAACCTACCTTAATAGGCTGTCTGTAACAAGCTCTCTGTAATAGACTGTGTGTAGGAGTAGAGACACTCAGAGGTAGAGAGGCGTCAACTCAGGGCCCCGCACGCTGCGCTGTGATTGGACCGGCACTGGGCGGCTCCGTCGGCCAGCCTAACATCTGGCCTCAAAAAGGCAGGGAATTGCAAACACACTGGAGCCCGCCGGGCTCCAGTGAGCCTCATAGGGTCACGCGACCCAGATGCGCGGCAGCGTTGCACCGGAATGCGCCCGGCGGCGCTGCCGAACGTCGCCCGAACGACTTCCGGGGTGCATTCGGCACGTCTGCCCAGCCAACCAGCGAGCGCAGCGCCTAGCAGCGCCGAGCCAATCACAGCGCAGCGTGCAAGGCTCCGAGTTGACGGCTCTCTCCCTCTGAGTCTATGAAGGAGGCTGCATGTAACAAGCTGTCTGTCACAAGTTATCTGTCACATGACATCGGTAAAAGCTGTCTGTAACAGGCTTAGAAAAGAAATTTTAAAAAAAATGCCAGAAAGATTAGAAAAATTTTATTCATCATTTCTTTTTTTTTAACATTCTTTTCTCTTTTTTCATTTCTCTATCTCTAATTCTTAAACTAGATTTCTTTTGTTCAGATAAATTCATTCTCCAAATCCTCATTCTTTCTCTATTATATTTCTTCTTCATCAAAAACTGAAACAAGCAAAGACAAGTTTTACTATTAGTTTAAGATTTTAATTTTGACATTTTTGTTAACATTGACAAAAATTTTCTTCTGACTTTATAACGCAAAGATTTTCTAACCGAATTTAATCTTTCCAGAGAAATGGAAGCAAGCAGACATAAATCTTCAAAATCTGATACTCTAGATAGAGCTACAAACAATAATCCTAAAGCAAATTCTGAATTACCAGCATCAAGAATAACAGAACCTAAACTTAGACCCTGAGCCTTATGAATAGTGCATGCCCAACACAAGGTAATGGGCAATTGGGATCTTGAACACAAGATTCCATTCTTATACCATGTAGATTGAAGGGGCACCAATGGTACATACTTGATAGACAGATCTTGAAGATTAACTGATTCAAATTCAATGAGAACACACATAGGTAAATCAGGAGGCTTTTTACCGCTTTCATACACAATGTGCCTTATAATGCCAATAGCCCCATGAACAAGTCCCCTAGATATATTAATGTTTTTGCGTAGCATAATTTTGGCACCTTTTGCAATTGCTAAATCATTATTAAGCCCATCTGCTAAATCATCTGATGAAAGAAATGCCGTCTTGTTGTTATTAACAGCTTTTAAACATGCAATAGGTTTCTTTAGTTCTAATAACTTAACCTTATTAATTTTACTTGAAGACTCATTTGTTGAGGTGAGCCCGTTTGTCCGAAGCCCGTTTGTCCGAAGTGAAATAATCTATTTTAGTAAATAAAATAAGTAAAGTAGCTTGTTACATTATTTTTTTTTATTTA